AAGAGTACCCTGGAGCAAGAGATTCCAAGACAGGCATGCAGCACTGACCCAGGGAGAACTGGTTAGGTATTGCACCCAGCAGCTCTCTCTCCTATAGGCCCCAGGGGTGTAGTGTAGAGTTGCCACCTCATCCCTTTAAAGCCGATACACATATTAATTACACTGGTTCTGAGGCTAATTTAATCCACATTAAGGCACTTAGTGAGTTTAATTACCACCTTAATAAGCCACAAAACCTGTTTATATAATATGTGTTCCGTTTTAAAGGAATGAGGTGGCAACCCTAGTGTAGCGGTATTCACACTGTCCTTGTATCATGTAGCTCTGGGTAAACTGCATTCAGGCCTCTCACTGAGCCAGTTTCTGTCTCCGCTTGCAGGCTGTCTTTCCCTGGTGGACTGTAAGGTAGTGGAGTTCCCTCTGTCAGCTTCCTTTCCTTTCCTCCAGCCTCTAGTGTGGAGGCAGAACCCCCCTTCTCCAGGGTCCCCTCCCAGGCTACACAGCAGCACCTTCAATAATCCATCTTCTACCCGACTCCAGACCCCTGCTGAGATGCCTCCTTATATCCAGGGGAAGTCTGCCATACTATCAGAACCTCCTGCCTGGGATTGATCATACTCCCATGAATATGCAGATCTAAGCCTCCACCCCTCTGCCCACTAGCTGCTGGGATGTTTCATGGACCTCCAAATCCAGGTGGAGGCGATAGAGGCCCAACCTGCTGAGTCATCCAGCCTAACCTGGACTGACCTGGACCTGACCCCTACTCAGACATGCTCACTCCAACTACTGAGTGAGCCATTAAAATTTCCTTAAGCTCTAGTGCCATTAGAGGGTTCTACACAATGAAACCTGAATGTGGTGGATGTTACAGGAATATTATCATTTTATCCTGAATATCTTGTTACTGTGCAGAGACTCACACTATTAATGGTTCAGTCATTTAGGTTTTCTGTATGCCTAATAGTGAAATGTCTGGTTCATCCTTTTCTGATGAGCATACAAACATCCTGCCCATATCAGACCACATAAGCAGAGCGGTGTCCAGAATGAAATGAGTGAAACCAAGGGCATAATCATGTCACAGATGGTAAAATTGGTGTCAATTGACAATCACAGATTTGTATTGTTTTCTTATTATTTTGCCCTGGATAGCTTAGTTTGACTATTTCCACAAGCAAAACCCTATTTTTCTTCACTCCAGATTAATTTTCTAATATTTTTTTTTTTTGCTGTTAGAGGAAACGTTATTATTAATAATCTGTATAACTAAAATTGCTTTTCAAATCAAGTTGAGTTGATTTACTAAAGGAGTAGAGGCTGTTCACTTCACAATTGGAAGGCTAGATAAGGTTAGATCAATTAGTTAGATAAGGTACACCTGTTATCACTTTGAAAAACCAGTCAAGTACAAGAAAATAAAAACAATAAAATTTTTATAGCAAATTATTGGTTTTTCGTAGTGAACACATATTCGCCTTATTTTTCAACATCTACTTTTGATTCATTTGCTAAAGGAACAGCCTTTCTGGTAAATCAACTATAAAATGTATGATGCTAGACTGATTCAATGACATATAAATATATCATAGTTCAATTAAAAAAATGCTTTCACAAGCCAAAAATGTTATTTAGGTAAATAAACTTCAGTGTCTATTTCAATTTAATTACTTTAACTTTTAAGTATGCTGTACATGCACCCAAATCAAAGTTTACACATCAGGATAAGTATACTTATTCTCAAACTGAGTTATTTTCAGCAACATCCAATGAGATTTGAAGCCTGGTTCACACCTGTGTGTGTTGCAATCTGCTGCGGAAAAGAAAAGTCTCTGATCCTATCCAGAAACGCAGCAGCTGAAAATACATAGATGTGAACATGTCCCATAGGAAACCATATTAAGTGGACTGTAGTGACTTTCTGCAAAACGCGAAAAAGCACTAAAATACGCATAGGTGTCAACCAGGCCTGACTGTCACGTGGCTTAATAAAAGAGCCTTAGGCTACTTTCACAATGAACCTAGAAAAAATGCATATGCATTTTTACCACTTTGTTCTGCATTTTTTACAGGACATGTGACTCAAAAATTCACAGTGGGTACGTTTTTTTATGTGTTTTTGCTACATTTTCCATTTATTTCAATAGGCAGGTGCATTTTTGGTGCGGTTTGTTTACTGCACCAAACCTGCACTCATAATACAGCAAGCAGGATTTAAAAAACAAACCTGACCCGCAATCGATCAGTGTGAAGCTTTCCATAGAAATACAAGGTCACACGTTTTTCTTCTGCCTTTTTAAATGCAAAAACTGAAGAAAAACAGATCATTGTGAAAGCAGCCTTATCCCTGCCTTTAAACTTTGTGACTTGACCCTCATATAATGCATACAAACAAATGAGCGAATCTGCTTTGTGCTTATTTTATATTAAAAAAATGCAGTTTATTTCTCCCTGAAGTTGTATTTGCTACTTTTTTGCCAAACATTGCCAATGTCTACTTTTACAAATGTAGCACTACCCCCCTAGGAAGTGCTGAGTTTTGGGTCCCCCTATAGTCCTGCACAGCCAGGCAACATGCATTTCCTTCCACACAGACTTGCATCCAGGAGACAATAACTATTCTTTGAGCTTTTTTTTTTTGGATTTTATTAGGAGAATTGAATTTGGATGGGGTAAGAGATGTATGAGATGCCCAAAGGGAACGGCAGCTGAGGACAATCTTCTTGGAACTATGAATCCCTGGGAAGGGGATCCAGTGCCTGTCACTTTAAATAGAAGACAGTCCTGGGTAACAAGCTAATCCAGTTTCCCACTAGAGTGCTCCTTCCCCTTTCTGGTCCAGGGGGTGTGGGTCTACTCACTCAGTCCTTGTCTATGAGCTGGTGGGTCGGTGGCTTCTCTAGGGCCTTTTGCTGGGCCGCTCCTTCCCTGCTGCACAGATGGTCCTCTCTCTGGGGGCCAGTGAGGTCCTGAGCTTTCTTCCTTTCCAGCTCCTCTGTCTGTAGGTGAGCCCCTTCCCATCTGGGTCCCCACCCAGGCTCCTGCTCCCCAGCCTCTCACTTCGTCTTCCACCCGAACTCTCCTCCTGCTGAGCAGGCTCCACCATATTTGAAGGCTGCCCTGGCCCCATGCAAAGCCTCCTGCTTGGGGATTGGCCAAGGTCCTCCAAGTGTGCAGGTCAGCCCTTCCTCACCCCCATGCACTGCCTCTAGAATCTTCTCCAAGATTCCAAAGCAGGGGAAGGTATCAGGGAACTGGCCTTCAGAGCTGAGCTCTGACCGAAATTTGACCCATCTAGCTATCACACCCAGGCTGCTACTCAGCCCTCCTAACTAAAATTTAAACTCCCCTGGTCATCTAGAGGGGCACTACACAAACATTCTTACTACCTAAAATGGCACCTTCCATTTGTAAAGGTGACTGATATACAATGTTACAATTTAATGCGGTACAGAGCACAAATATAGAAAAGCATCAAAAATGTAAAACTATGTTTTTGAAAAGACAACGTAGCATATAACTTGGCTAATCCTTGTCTCTCATAGCTAAAATTAATTTTAAAAAAAGTGTCCCATAAATTCCATTAGAATCATTAATGCTGGTATTTACAAATGGTGCTTGGATGAAATTTTCCCTTTCAAAGCTATTAAATAACAGTAGGGGTTTGTTTATATTAGAGCTTTGACTGCACTCATAAAATGTAATGTCTTTATAGATCACGCATCTAACTAACAGCTGGTCTTTTCAGAAGAAAACATTCTCTGCAGCAGACCATGACTAAAAAGTGGTTTTACTAAAGGAGTATATTTATAATTATCTCAGAGAAGCTTCGTCCTATCCACTGTAGCCACACACATAGGAAATTCCTGCTTATCTAAACTTTGCAGATGACTGGAAATTCAAAGTGAAGTGTGTGAAGTAAAATTATACTTCTTTAAAGAAATAAGAAACCCCTAGGATAACAATATACAACCAATATGCATACTACAACCCCTTCCCGCCTCTGCTTCCCGGCCCTTTAAGAGATTGGAAATGTCGAGAGGCGAAAGCAGGCATTCCAAACATGTGGCCTCTGTGATTGGAAGTCACACGATCAGAAAGCTCACGATTTCAAGTATGCATTGGGGCTTTCCGGTACCCACCGGTTACTGTGCTACAAGAACTACAAGCTGTCTGGGTGGCATTTTCGTTTCTGAACTAGATAGAGTTGCTGAACACAGAAGACCTGTGTTTCAGCCATTCATCCCTGAATGCATAGGGCCCTAAACACGGGTACCACTCGGAACAGCATTCAGCCCTGTCCAGCCACAGCCATAGTCTTCAACGGACTACAGTCAACAGGGCTGGACACTGAACCTGTCCCTTCTGGATGCATCTAGTTAGCTCTGTGTGTAAGGGGCCTTAAATGATTGTTTTTAATTCATAGAAACATAGATTTCACCTGCATATATTCATACAGATGTTCTGAATCTGAAGAGAGTCACAGTTTATGAATTACAATTCTTCCCGGTCCATAATTTACATAATTTCATTCATTGAACAGTTCTGCATGCAAAGGTTCAAGTGAATCAGCCAATTGTATGCAGATTTATATTCATCAATCAAACCAGGCAAATGATGAACAAATAATGTAGCCTCCCTAGAGGTCTGATTATGTCAGTATTTCTGTGCTCAAAGCGGTACATTTGTTTGCATGGAAATATGTAGGTTTTTTTATTGTAGGCCTGTAATTTTTAGGAATAACTAACTGAAATCTGTTCGAACTAGAATCTAGTAAACATCCCGGGTATGTTAAAATTTGAAACACGAAATCATAAATTATAATTTAATAAATAATCATAAAAATAATGATGATATAATAATAAATTTAATTCAATAATATAATCAAACCAAAAACACTGAAATTTTAAATATAGTGCCAAGTTTGCACATCACTGAGCAAATTCACAAAATAGTTTTCAGTGTCTGATGCCGAATTTCCCCACGAATCATTATCACTCAATTCTGCAAGTGACTCTGATTTACTATCGCTGTTCTCTAGCTGGTCTAAAACCACTTTTGACCTAAAGGGACGCTTTTTGGACGCCATGGACATTTCTCAGTTTCAAGGCAGAAAGAACAGTAAAAATGCAGGCAGGGCACAGGACAAAGCACTAGGGACAAAATGTATGTGAAATGGTACAGGTAATGTTTTACTATGTGATTTTAGTGTGTTGAGTGAATGTCGCTTTTTGACATTTTTCAATTTCCTGCCAGTTCCGTCCCCGTACGTCCTGACGTCGCAGGGAACGGAACCCGGAACATAGATGCCGGCATCGGCCGGAGGACATTGCCGGGGATGCTGCAGGAGGGACATCGCGGGGAGCGCAGGACAAGGTAAGTGAAGAAGAGATCCCGGAGCAACGCTGCAGGGTATTCCTGAATGTAGCTCGGGGTTACCGCTTGTGGTGCTGAAACTTTACCCCAAGCTACACTCGGGAATACCTCCAGGGAGGTTAAATGGAATACCCATATGTAACAACTTGCTAGTTTGTTTCTAGCCTCTGATAAAGCAGAACAAGAAGACAAAGACAACCCAGAGTTTAGTATCCACCTAGGCCCATCACACTACTTACAATGCGGTAACACATAAATTGCATTTGCTACAGTGCCATTCATTGTGAAAGGCACCCCAATACTCCCATGCTGCAACACACAGCAGCACAGTGCATTGTTTCCGGTGTTGTGCGCTTTGAAGCCTGCTCCAATCTTTTGTGCATTACAGCCCATTCATTTTGAACAGGCAACCTAACACAGAATAGCTCAATGCAAGAAAAGACATAGACTGCAATCCACTGCGTTATAGCACCTTGTGTTTTAGTGTGAATGTTCCTATAGAGATAATTGCAGAAAAGAAGCTGAATGCACAACTGAACTACATACTGTACATCGGAAGTGTTTAAACTGCCAACGGATTTGTAATTCTGCCTTGCCTGACTGCACAGACAGACCTGGACCACGGTTGTAGCTGCAGCACGGACAAGATGAGATACACTTAGTCTGGGTAATGGTCATTCCATGCAGAAAAAGCTTTATTCTTCAAGAGTGAAATTGACATTGACCACATTTATCTAAGTTTATCAGTCTCTTGGTGGCTCACTCTTTGATGTTGTAGCACCCTCCTAGTGTAGAATGCTAGGTAAATCCAGTTTGGCTCCTTCTGTAATCAAGCGAGCAATAATATTTTGGCCTGGACTGCTCAGGGGTTTCACAGGCTGGGAGTTTGGTTGCCTCCCCCTGCCTCTGGAAAAAGCCTCCAAAGTTTAGAGCGGTTGATTCAAAACAACCACCCTGAATATTAATCAGGTTCTAGCCAATCCCTGAAGAAGGGTGTCCAGAAGGGGGATGGGATGGTGATAAATAGTCAGAGCAAGGTTCCTTTTTGCTCTGTGCATCACCGCAAGGCGACCAGATGCTACAAAGACTTGAACATTGGTCTTCAGCTGTGAGGCCTTCTACCATTCAACTCTCACTGTTACTCTAGAATAAGATTGTCCTCTAATCTTTAAGTGCTAAGCCATTTAGAGTATCCCATGCCCCAACCCCCCCCCCCTTCTGTTGAAATTCTTCAAGCAATAAACTACAAATTGAAGCTAGGATGAAATTGAACAAAGTACTTGTTGGAGAAGACCCAGTTAAAACTAGCGGCTCCTACAGGGGCAGCACTACAGCATAAAAAAATACAAAAAAATTGTTATTTTTGTATTTCTATGGTTTTTATTAACTTTTGCAAACAATTTAACAAGAAGGATTAGAGCAAAAGACACGCCCATGCAGGGGCTATTAATGGTACATAAAAATAAAGAAATCAGTACTGTAACTCCAACAATGCAAGAGGCGTGCCCATGTAGGGGCTACCAATGGCACGTAAAATACAGAAACAGTGATATAACACCAACAAAAAATTCCAGCCAAAGGCAAATGTCTATCGCCTCACGTAACCAAACAAAAAAGAAAGAGGAAAAAAAGAGTAAAGAAGGAAGAAGAAAACAAGACCAGAAGCAGGGATCTGGGAACGCCAATACCATACAGTGTCATAAACCCAGACTAGCCGGGGGAGGGGGGAGCGTGGGAAAAGCATATGTCAACCACGGTTTCCATATTTTCAACAATTTTCATTGGGCGTCACTACGGATACTCGACATCTGTTCATTGAGCATCAGAGTGGTCATACAATCCCGCACCCTCTGGAGAGGGACAGACAGGCTCTTCCATACCTGGGCAATTGTTCCAGTGGCCGACAGAAACAGATAGGAAGCTAACTTCTGCTAATGAGCCAAAAGGTCCAGTATGGGACAATGAAGCAAAGCACACCAAACCTCTCTGCGTATGGAGACATGGAACAAGGTGTAAAGAAGGCCAAAGACACGAGACCAAAAACGAAGCAGTCTCGGGCATGACCACCATATACAGTATACAACACATCTCCAAGATGGCCACAACCCTGAAAGCAGCGATCACTATACGCAAGGTTCGCCTGGGCTATACGAGCCGGGACACAATACCAACGAAACAGTACTTTGTATGCTGCCTCCAGTGTGGCTGTATTAAATAAACATTTAGCTACAAATGACCAAGCCTTATTCCAGTCCTCCAGATCCACGACCGTCCCCAAGTCACGCTCCCACTGGACAACATATGATAGAGAATTACGCATTGGGCACCTATTCAAGGATACATAGAGTAGGGAAACAAGACCCAAGGCTGTTCGCAAAGCTGTTCAAAGGCTGATTTATGATATGGAAAGGCAGAAGTGCCACACAGTGAGGTCATCCAGTGCCGCAATTGAAGGTAACGGAGAAATTCTGCCTGAGGGATATCCCGTGATTCCCAAAGAGAGTTCCAGGTGGGGAAGGATTGAGAGGTCAAAAAGTGTCGCACCTGCGAAAAACCAATGGCCGTCCACCAAGAGAATGCCCCTGGATCCAAACCTGGAGGAAAAAGAGGATTATTGATAATCAGGAGCAAGGGCAGAAAGAGTGACATCAAGCCACTAGAGTAGCGTACCAAATCCCACACTCATAGGCCATAGAGCAAAATGGAACTCAATGTCCTCAGACGTTGGGCCAGGGGGAGCCATAAAAGCGTCAATGTCGCAACAAGGGCACAGTTAGGCAGTTCCAAAAGGACCCAGAGAGGAACATCAGAGGAAGTGTGCAACATAGACGGGGGCAATCTGACTCGCCTGATAATGCTTAGTTACATTAGGCACCCCAAGACCTCCCTGCAGTCTATGGGTGAAAAGCGTGTTTTTGGAGACTCTGGGTCGTCTGTCAGCCCAGATAAATCGAATAATCCTCGCCTGAAGTAACCGGAGAAAATGAGAAGGAACCCGCACTGGGAGGGTGTGCGAAAATAATACAACAATGTAGGCAGGATTTTCACTGAAATAACCCATCCAATCCAGGACAGTGGTGTGGGAATTGGGAGGGAGGACACAGAGCGAAGCAATGGGTAGTAATTCGCAGTAAACAAAGAGCCACATTTGTTAATTTTGGAGTTCTTGTCTTTCATGTGGAAACATTAAAAAAAATTAGTACCAGAGTGGCTCCATACCTCAGCACCTGGAAATGTCTGAACCAAGAAAAAAGGAGCTTCTTGGTTCTGCACAAAGTAAGCTGTACTGTTATATGGTATTCCTGAGTGTGAGTAAAAAGCATAGATTGCATCATTTTAAATATACTTCTTCTCTGATGATGTTATTTTCAGTATGACAGAATATAGAAAGCCTGACATGTTTCTTAAAATAACTCATTATCAAATGACCCTTTACAATACCTTTTATATATATACAACTGGATGAAAAGAGACATTCAAAGACCGATAACAAAAAAAAAAAAATCAGATTAGAATACAACCAGGCATATGAAAATGTATACTTGGGGTGAAAAGTAACTAAATCTTCTTTATTGACAACGAGGAGTAATATGTTCCGTAGCATGACCCATGTTAACTTGTTTCAGTCCAGAAAAGACCTTTTCATGGTCATGCTATGGAACATTTTACTCCTCGCCGTGTGTCCAATCACAGCTGATCACGTGTAAACAGGGAAATACCGGTTATCGGCATTTCTCTCCTCTCGAGCTGTCACGCTGACAGCTCAAGAGGAGAGGAGAGCCGGTAATCGGCTTTCCGCGGAGGGGACATGTACACTGATCATCAGAGCACTGATGATCAGTGTGCCCTGATGATCAGTGTAGCCCCAGCAGCGCCACCTGTCAGTGCTCATCAGTGCCTTGTGTCAGTGCCCATCAGTGCCACATCAATGCCACATATCAGTGCCTACCAGTGCACATCAATGCCACATATCAGTGCCCATCTGAGCTGCCTTTCAGTGTCACCCATCAGTGCCAGCCAGTGCCACCTATCAATGCCAATCAGTGCCACCTATCAGTGCTGCCAATCAGTGCCGCCTATCAGTGCCAGTCAGTGCCGCCTATCAGTGCTCAGTGCTGCCTATCAGTGCTGCCTATCAGTGCCATGTATCAGTGATGCCTTTCAGTGCCCATCAGTGATGCCTGTCAATGCCCATCAGTGCCACCTACCAGTGCCTCCTCATCAGTGCCACCTATCAGTGTCCATCAGTGCAGCCTATCAGTGCACACCACTGCAGCCTCATTAGCGCATATCAGTGAAGGAGAAAAATCACTTATTTACAAAATTTTATAACAAAAACTAAGAAAAAAATTTTTTTTTCAAACGTTTCAGTGGTTTTTGGTTTGTTTAAGAAAAAATAAAAAACCCAGAGGTGATTAAATACCACCAAAATAAAGCTCTATCTGTCACAAAAAAATGATAAAAATGTCATATGGGTACAGTGTTGTATGACCGCGCAATTGTATTCAAAATGCGACAGCACTGAAAGCTGGAAATTGGCCTGGGCAGGAAGGGGGTATACTTTTGTAGGAAAAAGAATAACAAATTAATAAAAAAATTTTTTTTAAAATTATATATATATATATATATATATATATATATATATATATACAGTGGGGCAAAAAAGTATTTAGTCAGCCACCAATTGTGCAAGTTCTCCCACTTAAAAAGATGAGAGAGGCCTGTAATTGGCATCATAGGTAGACCTCAACTATGAGAGACAAAATGAGAAAAAAAATCAAGACAATCACATTGGCTGATTTGGAAAGAATTTATTTGCAAATGATGGTGGAAAATAAGTATTTGGTCACCTACAAACAAGCAAGATTTCTGGCTCTCACAGACCTGTACCTTCTTCTTTAAGAGGCTCCTCTGTCCTGCACTCATTACCTGTATCAATGGCACCTGTTTGAACTTGTTATCAGTATAAAAGACACCTGTCCACAACCTCAAACAGTCACACTCCAAACTCCACTATGGTGAAGACCAAAGAGCTGTCGAAGGACACCAGAAACAAAATTGTAGACCTGCACCAGGCTGGGAAGACTGAATCTGCAATAGGCAAGCAGCTTGGTGTGAACAAATCAACTGTGGAAGCAATAATTACAAAATGGAAGACATACAAGACCAATGATAATCTCCCTCGATCTGGGGCTCCACGCAAGATCTCACCCCGTGGGGTCAAAATGATCACAAGAACGGTGAGCAAAAATCCCAGGACCACACGTGGGGATCTAGTGAATGACCAGCAGAGAGCTGGGACCAACGTAACAAAGCCTGCCATCAGTAACACACTATGCCGCCAGGGACTCAGATCCTGCAGTGCCAGACGTGTCCCCCTGCTTAAGCCAGTACATGTCCGGGCCCGTCTGAAGTTTGCTAGAGAGCATTTGGATGATCCAGAAAAGGATTGGGAGAATGTCATATGGTCAGATGAAACCAAAATAGAACTGTTTGGTAGAAACACAACTCGTCGTGTTTGGAGGAGAGAGAATGCTGAGTTGCATCCAAAGAACACCATACCTACTGTGAAGCATGGGGGTGGCAACATCATGCTTTGGGGCTGTTTCTCCACAAAGGGACCAGGACGACTGATCCATGTACAGGACACAATGAATGGGGCCATGTATCGTGAGATTTTGAGTGCAAACCTCCTTCCATCAGCAAGGGCATTGCAGATGAAACATGGCTGGGTCTTCCAACATGACAATGATCCCAAACATACCACCCGGGCAACAAAGGAGTGGCTTCGTAAGAAGCATTTCAAGGTCCTGGAGTGGCCTAGCCAGTCTCCAGATCTCAACCCCATAGAAAACCTTTGGAGGGAGTTGAAAGTCTGTGTTGCCCAGCGACAGCCTCAAAACATCACTGCTCTAGAGGAGATCTGCATGGAGGAATGGGCCAACATACCAGCAACAGTGTGTGCCAACCTTGTGAAGACTTACAGGAAACTTTTGACCTCTGTCATTGCCAACAAAGGATATATAACAAAGTATTGAGATGAACTTTGACTATTGATATTGACCAAATACTTATTTTCCACCATAATTTGCAAATAAATTCTTTCCAAATCAGCCAATGTGATTGTCTGGATTTTTTTTTCTCATTTTGTCTCTCATAGTTGAGGTCTACCTATGATGCCAATTACAGGCCTCTCTCACCTTTTTAAGTGGGAGAACTTGCACAATTGGTGGCTGACTAAATACTTTTGTGCCCCATATATATATATATGTATATATATATATATATATATATATATATATATACACACTGTAGTTCGAAAGGTAGGCACTGCACTCTATGTTAGAGATAAATGTCCAGGTGCTCACCCACAAAGAAATTCATATAAAATCAAATAAAAAACAGCAGTGTTTTTATTGTCAACGTTTCGATGAAGCTCAGTCCATCTTTCTCAAGTCACTATGTAAGTGAGTCACTATATGACTTAGTTTAATTGAAATGTTGACAATAAAAACACTGCTGTTTTTTTTATATTTCTCCTCTGCAAGACCCGTGAGTGCCTCTAAACCAGTTCTGTGTGTGTATATATATATATCTATATATATATATATCCATTCAGTTGTATCCGACCCTTGGCGATTGCATGGACTGTCACTCGTAAGCGACTTTTTCCATGAATTCTCTTAGCAATTATTTTACAGGGTAGGTTGCCAGGTATTTCCCCAACCCCTACCATGCAGGAGATCCCGCATGGCCAGGGATGACTGATATATATATATATAATATATATATATTATACAATTGTGACACACAAGTCATATTGTAAATGAATGTTATAAAAAATTACCTTTCCTTTTTAATTTGCAGCTCTGTAATTTTCTGCAAAATGCAATGCAATATGGCTACCTGAAGGTGTTCTGTACACAGATCACAGATGGCATTCAGAATGCCGCCCCCCCCCCCCCCCCCCCCCCCCCCCCCCAGAAATGTAATTTGGGGGGGGATTTAGGGAAGCACCTGTAACAAAAATGTAATTTTGGGTGCAATACTCCCAAATGGAAAACACTCCTAAAGGGATGTAGTCCCTGAAATTTGCCCCATTAGAGCCCTGAACGTCCAGAAGCTGATTGATAATGAAATACCCACTCCAGATTCCAAACCAATACAGATTCACTCTACACATGGACACAAGCAAATAAACAGCCATTTTTTTCAGAATCACAAAAGGTAGGAATCTGCAACAAAGTTTGTGAAAAAATCCTTGCAATGTACATAGATCACCCAGAGGGGAGTGTTTTTTCCTCAACAAAAGAAGAGTTACTATTTAAAAAGAAAAATATTGCGGTCAACATATCCAAGCACTAGAAAGCTGAAATATATTACATGGGGTTTACATGAACCTAAGCTATAAATCAAAGCAGAAATAAATGCACTAGGTGATAGAATGTATTTATCCACAGATATACATTATGACATCTTCAGATGAATGTTTCCAAAGGCACAACTTATCCTGCTAGGCCCTTTTTAAAAGCTGCATCCGAGCATCATGGGTATTATAGTCTACTCCACCAGACAGTCAGCTGACTCACTTCTGTCACGTGGTTTGTTCAGCAGCAGCCAGTCTGGGAGCACAGTAAGAGCGAGGAAAGAGTAAGGGCCAATTCACACTGACCTGAACTAAAACGCCTGTACATTTCCATCCATTTTAGTCACATTTTAACGCATGTTGATGTCTGTCGACATACATTTTGACATCCGTTGACATACATTTTGAAGTTTAGTGCAAAAAAATGTGATGGTATGGTGTGCATAGGACATGTAGCACCCTCCTAGTTAGGTGCTAAGATTTGTATAGTTAGGATAAGTATAGCTGTGTTTCACTGCTTAAAGAAAAATCTGTTTGAAAAATCTAGTTGGGCTCTCTGCTTAACAGGTGCTGGGATGGATTAGAAAGAAAACAAACAGAGGACGCACCGGCCTAGTGCATTATCTAAAAAACATTTATTAAAGTAAAAAAAAAAGGTATTGTACTCACAAATGACAATTTTGTCAAAAGCACATCATGAAAGAACAGCTCTGTCCAATCCACACTACATATGCTGTTACACAGTTAATATTTTATGTTAATGTACATGAGAATTCATATAGTTTATTTTTTGTACCATTTCCTATGGACATTTCTATAGTTAGTAATGCTGCCATCCAGTGGTCTTATTTGGTAATGCATTTGTTTTATATTGCCTCCCTGGATCTATGACACACTTCCTTTGTATATGAATTCCTCCCCTTCTTGAGTACAGACTTCCTGTGTCATGGATGCAGCTAACAGACCACATGTAACAGGGGACACATGTATTCTGCATAGTACGCTACAGAAAGTATCATCTTTTGACCGTATAATACTGGAAACCATTCATTCTGCTGTATCCTGTTTCACATGTACAGAATAAAGCAACTTCTGGATGAACACAGTATTGGTGAGTTCAAGCTATCTGATAAGGATTGCCCACAGTGATTATATCTGCTTATACAGGCTAGGCAGAGAGGTCTCACAAGGGATAAATTGCTATCACAACAATCTGAGTCAGAATACTACATGTCTGTCCGCAATGGAAACCCTGGATTTCCAACAGGCTAATGCGTTTCGAGGACTTGGGGAATTCCACCCCTGCAGCAGTATATCAGCAGAGACCTGCCGTATCAAAGAACCTGGAGAGAAAAAGAGAAGGAGGAGAAGGCGGGAAAAAAGAGGAGGAAAGAATAACAAAAAGAAGGAAGGAGATGATTACCACACACTCCATGATTAAAATCTACAATCTATCAAGTTCAGTTTTTACAGATACAGAACTCAATTTATTGTGCAAAGGTTTCAACCTTACCTCAAAAACCCTCCCAGTTTGGTTGAATTGTTTATAGATCTAAACAAATATGTCAGAAATCTTACTGTGAAGAGATACTTTGCTCTCGAAAAAGAGCCTCCAGTGGACGAAGATCCCCATCAGGGACAGCCACTGAATACCAGCTCTATTAGCAATGACCCTACACTCCCCTTTTTGGAAAGCTTGTTACAAGAGGGAGAATGTGGTGGTTTTGCTCTAGAACCAGACCACAACATGAGACCTCATAGAGTAGAGAAGGATGAAATCATACACACGGATTTCAAACCCACATTGACCTTTTTCCTCATTGGGTCAAAGG